AAATATTTATAATCTAAAGTCTTTTTAATGTTTTCCTTTTATCTTTAGTAATTTTTTTCTTTTCTACTGTTTTACTACCGGCATGTTTTTTTGCTAATGGACCATCGCTTGAATCATCTTCTCGTCCTATCTTCATACTTTTAGGTATCTGTAATAATTGATGTTATAACAAAATAATGAAGACTATAAATTGATATTACCCTTAACCTAATTTTGTAAATTTTTAAATCCATAAAAATTATTACATCTATATTAAACAAAAAAATATAAAACATATACTTTGTTCCAAAAGATAATATCCATATTTAAACACGTAACTGATAAATGAGATCTTATGTTCCTTTTACCTTTCTAAAACTAGTGACAATGTTTTGTGAAAATAACAGGATAGTGTTATTGTGGAGTAAGTTATTGGTGGAAGTCACCCAGGGTCAAACCGGTTAGAAGTTAAGGTATTATTATTTTTGGAACATAGTATAGGTAAGTACCATTTCTATTTCATTAATCAAGACCATACTATGGTAGATAATTATTTGAATTAAACAACTATACCACTACAGTATTAATGATTAATAAAATAAAAACAATATATCTTAAAACTCTAAATTTAAAACTGAAATGTATACCGGTGCATGAATTTCTGTTATCATTTGTGCTCTTTGGAAATAATGATCATATTCTTCTAATAGAAGTTTGCCAGCTTCTTCATTTAAAGCGGATTCTGCATTTGGTACTATTAATAAACACTTAATCGTCTACAAATAAAATAATATATATTGATTAAACAACATTATTAATGAAGTACATTAAATTACTTACAAGAAGAATATGTTTTATTCCTAAATCTTGTTTCCAATCCCTTTTCAAAGTGTTGACACATATTTCACCACTGCTTGCAACATTTGGATGAAAAATTTTGGTAAGAAAATAAGCTTTTGGTGGTGTGTGAGGAAAATCTTTGCCCAACACCAATTTCACATTGAACCGACCGCCTGCATATGGTGTACCAGCTGTGTAGTCAAAACAAAACATATTTACTCAGAACTGTTAGTTTCTACATATGTAGTTTTTAACATACCAGGACCATCAATGAATGCTTGGATATCGGTAACATCAGAATCGTTGACGACAATCCGTATACCTTCCGGAGGGTCTTTTATCAGTTCTTCTTGTTCCCGGACAAGTCTGCGGATGGTTTGTGGTGATAGGTTTTCGACGTTGGAAATCTTGAATTAACAGAAAAGAACGTGAAACAAATAATAAAACTAGGAAAACGATTAACACAAGATGTCAATTACTTACGGAACTCATATTCGTCAGCGAACTAATGAAATCCAATGGTACACTCTACACAATTAGTATTTATGAATATTTTATAATATTATTTTGGATGCCGACCGCCTATATCGAATCACTAAAGATTGCCTCCGTTATTCCGCGATAGGAGAGAATTCAAAATAAAATTCTCACAACAATAAAAACGATATCAGCACTCGGTATAATTCAGTTTCTGTCGTGGGCCGTGGCGTACAATAATAATTGTAAGACGGTCGACACGGACAAAGGTAGCCATTTTAACGTTTCATTCTCTTCACACCCCCACCATCGTATGTCGAGCCAATGGGATTTTGGATTTCTGAATTTTGAAACGTAACGGTTTATGATGGCCGTCCGTAACCGAAGAGGGTCGACGAATAACGAGTCGCGTTATAAAATTCAGTCGTTCAATCGCGGAATCCGGATGAGTGCGGTATTATGTAATATAATAATATAATAAATAATAATAAAATTAATACGGTTATAGGCTTTTATAGATATTAAATACTACTATATTATATAGATCCATAATAATGTAACCGTGTATACTGATAATGAAAAATGTTATCGCTTTATCGGAACATCGACCCATAATCATATGATACGTCGCATTAATGTTATTAATAATAACAATAAGTGATAAACTATTTTGTATACCAAGTTAAAATATAATAAATAATAAATGATTCTTGTGTATTATATTATTATTAAATATAGGTGAAATTGGATTAAACTGATTAAAGCGATGCTTTACGTAGTGTTATACTGACATCCCGAAACAGTGAAACGACTAACAAATATCATAGTTATGACAAAAAAGTAAGAAGTCCTACAATTTAGCATTTACGAATATGCATAAAGACTGGAGTAGGCACCAAACGTGAAACGACCAAAGACCAAACGAATGTGCGGTTGGTGACGGCCGCCTAATTAAAATCTGATATTTTAGGTAACGTTCACACACAAAATACGCGCGAAATTCAAATGTGTGTACTATTGAATTAAACAATTATTCTTGTTTACGCATGAGTGAAACCGATTACATAATCGAGTAGGATCTTTTAACATAATACACGCGTATTGAAAAAATTAATTATGAAGGTTCGGCGAGGTCAGCGAGACGTCTTTTTCATAATTTAAACTCTCGATTACGGAAATGCAATTATAGTCGGAAGTTTTCAATGGAAAGAAGCGATTTGGTCGTGATAAGATAACAGTTTCTTTAAAAAATTAATGATATAAAAAATAAAACTTCTGATAAATCAATTTTTTTTTTTTTTTGATGAAACTTAGATAAATCAAAAGCATATACGGACACGTGGTCACATATTATATAGCATAACAGTAATAGTGATAAAGATTTAAAAGTAACTACAAGGAAAGGCTCTAAATTGATTCAACTTCACGTGGGCTCGGCTCAGAGGCGTATTTAGAGGGTTGAAAAGGGGAAAGGGGGCAAATTGCAAGTTTCTTAAAGGAAGCGCTGCGCTAGAAAAGTATTATTAATAAAAATAAGATATTATTGGGCTAAGGTTTTTTTATCTGATGATCTTTTTAAGTAAACCACCGATGTATAAAAATTGATCAGGTCCCCCCTCTCGACAATTTTTTTTTTTTTAGGGGATAAAAGGGCACCAATATATTTTTACACCTAGGGCGTCAAAATCGTAAATACGCTTCTGGTTCAGCTAAAATCGGTTTTATACCTTAATGTAAGCTCTTATATAAAATACTAAAAGAACTTCTTCTGATTATCATTCAAAAATTAATAGTGAAATTAAAGTGGTTTTTAAAATTTAAAATTTGTTAATTACGCAAATAACTATTAAATGGAATTAAATAAAGCACCAACAATCAATTCAAAATAATAAATTGTTCAAGACTGGTTAAATGATAAAAATATTTCATACTCACCTTTAGAAACCAAAGTGAAGCTACTTGAAAAAAGTAGAATAAATAAAAAGAAGAACGAGTATACGAACCAAACGAAAAGAGACATACAAAGCGGATCATGAAATGGTTTGTCTTCCACTGTATCATTGGTCAATATAACCATACAGGTTATAGGTTTAGATTATTTTAATTATTTTAATACTAAAAGTTTTTGTTTTATATTTAGAAAAATGCTAAACAATTTGCAATAGAAGTCAAGAACAAAAATATTTAAAAATGTATTATGTGTATAGTGTATTTAAATATAATATACTTGATTTCATATAATACTTATTTGATAGAAACCTGTTGTACTAATGTAAGTGTATAACTTCTATTAATATGTTGTTTCAATAGTTTTTTGCTATTATTTTAAAATTTGTTAGGTACGCAAATGCATGATGACAAAACAATATGTTTAACTGTTTAATAATGTCTATTATTCTGAAAAAATACTCAAAGTAAAACCAATCTATAGGCTATAATAAATGGCTATATGTATGGTTAAATTACATAAATTGCTACAATATACACGATAAAAAAACAGTTATTGTTTATTTTATTATAGTGAAACTGAGTGAATTTCCACGCCACCTTGGATATTATATCGAATAATAACGCAACTGTAAATTACTAGATATGTACTCATTATTTACAAGACTATTATGTTTTACACATTTTTTTTCACTTTGGGATCCCAAAAATGGCTTAATATAAATAAATTTTAAATATTAAGTAAACAAAATTACAAACACAAATATTATTAAACTAAATTACAAATGTAAAAAAAAAATAATAATAAATTAACTTGATAATAATATGATAACCAAGTTCAATTTTTTTGCTTCTATTCAAAGAAATGGATTATCTCTATGTGTTAAATGCTAAATTATATTTATAAAATAATAATAATAATAATTTATTATAACTCAATTCATGAAAATAGGTATAAATTAAATTTTTAGAATAATATTGAATATCTACCAGGACTTTTTTGAGGAAAGCAATATTTAGAGCCTCACTTTGAAACAACTAGAGTACAAAATATGTTAAAACATAACTAGCTAATAATTATTCATACAAGGTAGAATTGAATTAACCTTCTAGCTAGTCATAAGTATTGTATAATTTAGTTTGTTTGCATTATATCGGTTGTATTAGAAAATATGATTTATATAAATAATTATCAAACTAATGCTGAAAATGTATTTGTTTATTCCTTATAAAATTATTCACTATACAACAACAAATGCACACTATAATTTTAACAATTAGAATAAACTAAACCAATAATATATATAAATGTGTAACATTATGATACGTGAGCTAATTAAGCTGATAAATTATTTAGTTAAATTATATAATGAATTATAAAGTATATGACACAATGTCAAAATCCCAAATAGAATAAAAGAAATAAACTGATCACAGAAAATGTCCCTTAGACATTAATTTACAAAAGAAAAATTTAATTCCAGAATTTAATATTGTTTTATAAAATTAACAGATAAAATACAATTCTAATGATGAAACTTTCTATTTTTTGTATTTAATTAAGTTCAGTATTAACTATATCAAAAATTAAATAAAACATTTTTATTTTTATTTCATATTTCATTTAATGTTTGAGTATAAATAACAATAAAATGTTTATAAATAATAGTGGAATGGAAAAATAATTATTATTAAACTACAATGCAGAAAAATAACTTATATAATAAATTTAAATAATATATTACGATTGAATTAGGAACTGAATTAAATGAAAAATATCAGTTATCAATTGCAAAATGATTGCAATTTTTGTCTCAAAGACTTACAGAATTATATATAACTGACGTTAATAAACATTATCTCAGTTCCAAATGCAACCTTGACTTTTAATTTATTAAAAAAAAATTACAATTAAAATAACTATAGGCTGTTTATCCCTGTTTGCCGAAAAAATATCAAGTATTATTTTAAATACATCCACAGCCTTCTATAATTATTTATTACACACAATGTTGACATTATTTTCAATGTTTAAAACTGAAAAAAAATTAATTTATCAATTAGTTTATTAATTTGAGACTAGAACTAGATGCAAAATTAAGTGATTTACTTCATTATTAACAGAAGTAAAACATACAATAAAACGTATAAATTAAATAATAGATTTTTCGTTTTAAATCTCAAGGATTATATATTATTTTCTTAATAACTAATTGTGATAATCAGACAATGTATGTATTAAATAATTTAAAACTAACAATAACTGATCAAAAAACTTAAGCAACAAAAATAAAGACAATTTTGTAAAAAATCTATTATCTGTAATGTTGCAATTAAAATAAACATTTAAAAAAAAAACACTGACCAGTATTAACATTTATGTATTCTAAATAAAGAGCATTTAACACCATGAAAAGAAAGGACTTTTGTTTTGAAATCTTTGAGTAAATGTATCGCTGAATGAACGAAACTTGGAAGTAGTTCCCACATGACCTTTAGACCTGAAAAATAAAAATAATATTATATAAAGCTTGACAAGACTTATTTTACAGAAAAAAAAAAATTAATTTGCTATTGATTGTAAATATTGTCTTAAATAAGAGTAACTCTAGTCTGCAATCTTCTGCATTATGGGTATAACTAACATACATCATATGATATGGTCTCGAGTCACTTAATTATACTAATACCGCTTAGCTTACATTTTTCTAAAATTAATACGGTTAGGCAATTTTTAGTTGTGACCAATTGTTAGAAATGAAGGCTGTAGATAAAAACCAATTTAACTGATGATTGTAGTATTTAGGTCTGACTCAAACGAACAAAAATTGATCACTGTGTCTGAGGTTACTCTTGCACAAGATAGAGTATAGGTAAGGATATAACATTTGGACAACTCCAAAATTATTATGCCTATAGTCAATCTAGATTAGTAAAAAGGAAAAGGAAAAAATACAGAACACCCTTTTACTAAATATTTACTACAATAAATAACTACATCATAATATTATATTGGGTTCAATTGGTATTAATCAAAATAATGTAGGTGCTCCTGGATATGGGGTCTACAAATGCATATGGTCTATAATCATATGTGCAGACCACATATCCAAGCAGCAATTAAAATAAAATAAAAATAAAATTTGGAGTATACAAGTTTTGAATTTTTTGCCCATATTTATCGTTGGGTACTAAAAAATAAAATTATTGATGTACGACAGTGTAATATAGTTCATTAAATAAGTTTGTAAGTAATCTAATGGTTGTCAATCATTCATCATGTTCTTATTATTTTTGTATAGTTATTAGTTTGACATATAATTAAAGATTTTTATTTTTTATCGTCAATAGTGAAGAAAATACCACTGTTTTTAAGAGAACATGGTTTATTGGACACTGTTGAAGAAATATTATTATGCCATAAAATATATGATAGTGAAATGATAGATGCTAGAAAACTTAATTGCGAGTGATTTTTATTTGTTCTCTAAAGTAAAAAAAAGAGTATCCAACACTTTGAGTAGTATATGACAGAGGAATAACTTTTTTTACTATGAGGACTTGAACAAGTCTGATAGTAAACTAAAACTGATGGAAATTTTAGAATTGATAATATTTTTTTATCGGACATACCTTTGAAGACAATAGTTACCTTAACAGATAGATACCAGGAGACGGTTACAGACTGATTTGATATGCATCATGAAGTATGATCAAATATTTTTCAAAAATGACCAAAGATAAACATTGTCATAAATTCAATACAGATTGACAAGGCTAGATTCACTGGAAAAAGGAAATATAACCGTGGAAGGTTACTTCAACAAAACAGTGTGATGCTGAACTGCTTAACAATAGAAACCATGGAAAAAAATGGATGGACCTTGGGTTTTTAGGCTTAAAAATGGTTTTGACTACCAATAATTTTATATTCTTTGAAGAGATAAAAGTACATTACTATTATTTATTCAGCAAGATTATGAAACTTGCTTAACCTAACTTGTTTGTTGCATTTTTGAGAGATATTAAAGCAGTTTATCATTAAGGTATACCTGAGCACCATAATTTTGATATAAATAGTCAAGCATATAACTTTAAACTCTATTTAAAATAAAAATATACCAATAGACAAGAACATCAAATTTAATATAAAATATTATGATATTAAGCACCAAAATGGGTTGATTTTTTTTATATTTTAATTTTAAAGCAAGTTGTGAACATTTAAAAATTAAGTGTTTATTAAGTTCAAAACACTCATAACTGGCTTCAAAATCAAAATATAGTAAAAAACCCCATAAGGCTCTAGATAATATTCTTACTTTTGAATTTAAATATAGGACATTTTACTCTAGTACTAAAAATAACAAAGTAAAATAAATTATTCTGAACATAATTTACAATGCTTGGTATTCGTAGTAAAATGGAGACAAAACAAACAACAATAATGTCCTCTTAACTCTCTTAATAATAAGATTTATAAATATCTTTAAAAAAAAATACTTAATTAATTACTTAGATAAATACTTTTAACAATATGATATTAAAATTAACATGTCATTTTTAATACTGTATATTTTTTAAATTTTAATATGGATACTATATATAAAAATAATTATTAATTGCAAACACCAAACTATAGATAATTAATTAATATTTTTTGTCATTACCTTTCAACAATGACAGCTGGCATTTGAACAAGTTGTACAGGACTTTTGCCATCTTTTAGAGCTTGAGTTAAATTTAATATCTGTCCACGCATAACACTCATTTGCTTTTCAAACATATGTCTATCAAATCCTTTGTCCATCTGCAAGTTGAAATATATTAACAATGATTAACTTAGCTATTTTTTATAAGCACCAACAATTATGGCTAGTTCACAGATAATTTTTTATAATTCAGCCTTTGTGCAATACAATGAATTAGTTAGTCACTAAAATACATTTTTAAATAAAATATATTTAAAATTTAATCTTAAGCATTGATAATTCAATCATTTTTACTAAAAAAAAAAACATTATAATAAGACAAAAATTATAAATTAACAGCATCAACATTTATGAGACACAACTTTGATTTAACAAAATGTATATATTTATACACAATTAAGTATTACAGTAAATACTGAATTGACATTAACTATCTCATTATTAATTAAATTGAATAAGTAACTATGAAATATTTAAAGAAATTACCAAAATCTTTAAGAGTCTTAAGCTAAAATTACAAATTGAATCACTAACTTAAATTATTACACATACAAATATAATACATATACTCATATAAAAAACCTTCTATAAGGATATGATATATCAATGATTTAACAAAGTGATAATATCAATTCAATTTTATTTTAATTGTATTTTTTTTTTTTTTTAAGAAGTTTAAATATGATATAATTTAAAAAAACCTCAACTAGTTTTTGGGATATACTATTTGTAAGTACTATTACCTTAAACAAATTGTAAAGATCATCACACAAATCTTGAACAAAATTCATATCTGATAGATAAGGTAATACTAGTTCTCTCGTATCCTTACTGAATGGAATTTTTGCTTGTGGAAGCCATGCCCAATGATAGGGATATGCACGCCATGAGTCAGGATGTTTAAATGGAAATGCTAAACCATTATCAATAGCTGCTATCTTTATGTCTGGTTCTTGAACACTATTCCATTCCTATAGAAATATAAACACCAATAATTATTTATTTAAATATTTTAAAATAAACATAAACATAAATGATAATTTGACTTACATTTGAGCTTTCACTAACAGTAGAATTTGTAAGACTAGCATTTGGGCTTGAGCTTAAGCTCGGTTGATCATACCTAATCAACCAATTATCATTACCTCGATCAGTATTTCGAATAATGTAATCTAACACAACTAGCCTTTCAAATTGAATTTGAAAACGGGATTGAAGATTTAATGGTAATGGAGCTAATTCAAGTCGTCTAAGCCAATATTCAGCATCTTTATAACCTTCCATGAATAATTGGAAGGATCCTATCTGAAAGCAAAAATATACATATTATCAAATTAGTCAAAAAAATTTAATTTACTTTAAATACTTTGGGCCTAAGACCAAGTCTGTTAAATCGCCGTCCCAATTTAGGAAAATGATCGTTGATAGCATGTTTCATTCTAGTCTTCTCTCTGTCTATACGTCCATAGTTGAATGTCTCACTAACCAATTTTGCAACCTTAGTTTTAGGTACAATATTTAATCCAAGTTTTGTCGATACAAGACTTGCACCAGCTTCTGATAGGTATCCTTGATTAGGTATTAAACAAGAACGACCAAAGCAACAAGGACAACAGTTTTTATGTAACCATTTAATCCATTTTGGATTCAACAAACCATAAGGTTCTTCATCTTTTGGTTTGAAAACACCAATAATTTTCTAAAATATAAAATAATTTGTTTTAATAATTTTATTAGCAAATGACAACAATAAAAATCACAATAAATAGATTCTATTTAGTCATGCATTTTAAATTTAGAACGGTTAGAATTAGAGCTATTTACTTTAAAATATATATATTTGCAAACAAAACTTACACTATTTGTATCTTTGACAAAATAGCTGCCACTGGACCCTTGATAAATGCGCTCAGGAAAGACACTATTATCTATAGCTAACTCTGATTGTTTAATAACATAACTGAATGCTGGATCATCTACAAAAAAAATAAAATAACAAATTATATTTTATGTTATTTTTTATACATACAACAAATAGATATATAATTTACTATAGTTTTCAAAACAATCATAATCAACTTTAATTATATCTTCAAACATTATGAGTTTAAAATACTATAAATTATAAAACAATATTGAATTTCCTAAATTAATCATGTGCCTTACTAAATTTAAAGATAATAAAATAACTTTTTATTCAAATACATATAATAATGTAAATAATGATTTAAACATTATCAGTATTTAAGATAATAATATTATGTAGTTTACAGTATTATCCATTCTTTCTACATAACACATTTAGTCAAGTACTTAAAAAGGTGTGGTATATAATTAGATGAATTTCTCATAACAATATAACCTATTACTTAGAATTGATATAACACATAAACATTATACAGCTTCAATCAAACTCTAGTGGTAAACAGATAACACAAAAATAACAATTGACCTTTAGTTATTAACTTTCAGTAATCAATAACCGATTACACAGCATAATATTATATTAAATATATTAATACATACATAATACTATAATATAATAAGTACTTTGCTAAATATTTTATCATATCTAATAAGATATATTATAGAACATTGTAAGATATACATGCATATTTTTTTTTAGATCAGTAAAATAATTTTAAAATTAAATAAAACAGTTCATGGTTCATGAAATAAAATACTATTTTTAAGAAAAACCGATACTTGAAATATTTTTATATAGACAGAATAAAGTTATTAGTGACATTACTTTTTCATCCACTCTAAATTATATTTCTTTTCTTTTTTTTTAATTATATAGCATAGCATAGGCCCCAAGGATAAACCATTTAAATTAATTATTTAATATCTATTAAAAATAAAAAAAATTATCAAACTATTTATGCTAAATTGATAAAATTAAAAATTCCCAGTAATTATTTTGATTTAAAAAATATTATAGTTCTTAGTTGACATACCTATCAATACCAATTCAGATAAAATTATATCATTGAATCTATTGTACTTAAAAATAGTTATTTATTATTATTATTACTATATTCAAATTGTAAGTGCATTTTTTACAACAACCATGAAGGAAAAAAAACTTATAGATATATTACATTCATGAAAAATGTATATCATCATAAATGTGATATGCAATATTATAATTTACTTGCCATATGATAATTATCCTCATTCATAGGTATTGTGGTGACTCATTGTAGAATAATATACCCATAAAATATATTTTTTGTTTTTATTTTATTATATAGATATAGGTACTTCAACTAATATCTAACATGCCATTTAATTGAATTATTTAGATTAATTAATATTTTAATTATATTCATCCTATATTAAATTTCTTAAATTATGTATTTTTAATGAGTAAACATAATAGGTACTCAACATAACTCACCTATCACAAGTGAGCTCAAAACAAAAAGAAAGTTAAATTACAATTTAAGCTAAAGATGATATAATACATTTAAGTTTATTGATTATTTGATTATGTATTAAGCTCAATATTATGATTTGAAAAATTATGCAATGCAAATATTGATATTATTAAATAATAGTCTTAAGAATGATTAAACAAATATTACAAGTTTAGTAAAGCCATAGAATATAATGAGATCTATGGTAAAACATAAACCAAATGGATGTTTAACATTATATCTTATTTTAATAATTACTCATAATTAAAATAAATTAAATGATAATAATTACTTAGTTTAATTATGTATAAATAAATATACTTTAGCAGATTAATGGTAATTGTTAATTATTGATAATCTCTTGATGTATTGAGTTATTAATCAATACACAAACTATTAGAGGTTATTTAATATTCTTTATATTAGTTAAATTAGTCTTATTAGTTATTACTTATATCTTATAATGTATAGGTACATAATAAATAATATTATAATAATTAATAATAGTATAATAAATACTGATAAACAATAAGTTATACAACTAAATAGTAAATACCTACTTAGAAGTATTTTACTATTAACAGATGATTATATGTATATGAAAATGAATTAATTTAGTTACCTGGAAAATGATTATAACCCGGAGTATGATCCATGCGTCCCAGTAGAGGTTGATTCTCTCTATCTTTGGGGTCCAGATTGTCGCTTAAAGGCTGTTCGAATTCAATGTCAGGTACGATTGGCTGGTAAATAGATGTAGTAGGTGACGGTTGCTGTAGAATACAGTTGGGTTGCAAACTATCTTCGCTCATTTAGACAGTCGAAAACAAAGATTTGCCAAAACAAGGACACCTGAGAAACTGGTACTAGGCCCACAACGAACAAGGTTAGTCATAAATTCGATAATTATATGATAAACTAGACAGCCATGTGAAATCAATGGACAGCATAGAAAATAGAAATGCAAGAATAAACTGATTAAAATAATTATTCACGATTTGAAATCAAAATGTAATACTTAAATAATCGTAATTCGTAGTAAAAATAACTAGTAATAATAATAATTCTATTAAATATTAAATCGAACACAGACACAGATGTTTTTTGAAAACGAACATTTGCTACATCAGTTCAGTAGTTCAGTTTGCTTTATTAAGTAGTTTTCGTATTGCTGCTATCTCCGTCCTTCGACGTTGTCCGACTGATAAATGATAATGTAGAGAACAACAATACAATAATTGATTGCGTATATTGTTCCATGAAATGACAACGTTGTAATACTTTAATAATAAAAAAAAATTAACAATAATTTATTTACGTCCACGGTTATAGCATATTTTAATTTTCTATGGTTATACATATCGTAGTTACGTCATAATCATAGACATACAGATGTCTAACAGTCTTACACATATTGTTAAATATTGTTTTGATGTTTAATGTTTAATTAATTTATTATGTCTATGCTCAATGGTTATGATTAATAGACTCCAATAAGTAAGCTTGCCATTCATTTCGGTTTTAACAGCATATTCCAATTATGGGAGCCGAGAGAAAATAACTTTAATATTGTATTATTTAATATTTGATAATAAAATATTGAATAATATTGTACATATAGAATCATTATATCATTATCGTATTATGCTATCTAAATTTTATCAACATTTTTTCAGGTTTATTTGTCTTTTTTTAAAAAAAAAAAACGCTTCAGAAATTTTAAACTTGAAACTAAAAAAAAAAAAAAATGGGTTATTCAATATGATGTCCTGATTGTGTTTTTATTTTAGTCATTAATCATTGTATTGAATAAAAAAAAATGCCATAATAATAACAACTCTACAATATTAAAATAACCACATATACACTCATACGAGTCATTTCCATTGGTGGAAAGTGGATGGGAGATGCCTAACCTCTCCAAATGTCTGAAAATAAAAATAAAATTACAATATTATTATTCTTTTAGAAATAATAATAAGAAAAGTACAAAATATATAAAATATTTTCCACAAAAATATAATAAATTTTAACTAAAAATAACTAATTACTTTTCTTGAAGTATAGGCACTTCGTAAACGCCAAACGGTAATTAACTATCTTTGTATTAAAAATAATCTAAAAAACTTTACTTCCGATGCATAGTTGATTGAAATTTAATAAATTAAATAAATCATTTTAGGTTTACGAAAAAAATAGATTTTAAACAAAAAAGACGAGCTATTTGAACTAATAATGTAATAATAGGGTATTAAATAAAATTGTCGCATGTCTACAATATTTTTAAATTTTTCTCAAAAACAACTTCAGAAGACATTTTAATACATACAAATAGGTACTGTATTTTAGTTTTCGACAAAAATTGATATTTATATTTTATTTCAACTCAAAAAAGAATAATCGTAGAATCTTGAAGTATTAACGAAGTGTTAAAATAAATACTTAATTATTATCTACAAACGGTATAATTGTCAAATATTTTAGCTCTTTTTAAGCTATTTATAAATAATTAAAATTTTCTATTTTTTTTATGTCAATAAAAAATGTTTACTTTAGAAAAAGAATTAAATATTAAATACAAGGTTACTCATAAGTTTTGCAATATGTATTAAATCTTCCGAAAAATTAATTTAATACGAGTGATTGTATTTTAACAACATTGTTTATGCATCTGTATAATACTGTAATAGGTAATCATTTTCATTTTCTCTTCAAACGATTTTTGATATTGTGTTTTAATTTCTAATTGAAAAATGAATATTAGCAGTTACTTGAAATTTTCACTACCTAAATATTTATGTTAGTATTTAGTATACACAGACATTTTATCCATTTAAATTTGAAATTATTATTTTTTTATTTTTCTCTATAAATATAAATTAAAAGGTATTCACTGAAACGAAATTCTTGAAAATTTAATACAAGATCCCACATAAGTTGTTTATATATCTGTAAAAAAAATATTAAAATATATATGATCAATGTTTAAATGCATTTGAAGTTAAAATGTTAACAAAATTTGTTACAATCGTAAACTTTACAAAGTATTATAATAAATATTAATTTAAAATGTAAATATTATTATACAATATAAATATAACAAATGCAATTAATTCTATTTAGTCTATATTCCATAATAATTAATTTGAGCCGGCGCAATGATTAGGCAATTTTGATGATTCCATGTTTTGAATATCAAATTTTGTATTTAAACTCATCATAATGTATAAATAATATTATTAGGTATTTATGCTATTTTATTCTTTATTTTACCTTAATAATTATATTATATTAGGTAGTTGTAAAATAATTTTGATTAAAAAAAAAAAAAAAAACTTAAAAACTTTTAAGTTATAATACTGCTCTTTCTACTAATGGATTAAAAAACTATTTTAGTTTTTTTTTTTTTTTGTAATGGGTATATTTACAAATCTGGGTATATGAATAATATGTTAATAGATTGTAGTATGTGTCATATTTGAAACTAAGTTCATCTAATAAATATCATATCTAACAATATAAAGGTAAAATAAATGCTTTAAAAAATATATATTTTTAAATAATTTTACTGGCCATGTAGAAGACTGCTGTTATACATAAATTATTAATATATGTATAAAATAATATCATATATTAATGCAATGACTGTACTAATGTGCAAACAATTATTTTTACAGTAAATAGTACAGTTTTAAATTGTTAACTATTTTATTATAAAATAATAAGTTTTAACAATATAATTAATATAAATAATAAACAAAATTATAAAGGATTTATTATAATTTTTTTTAAAAAAATAATAATATTAAAATATTATATAAAAACATGGTGTGGTTTTAAATTAAAAAAAAAAAGATATCAATTTATACAGATTAAAAATTAAACTAACTACCTAACAATTATAATTATGAGTACCTAAGTTTTTAATGAAAATAGTTCATTACAACTAAACAAGTAACTCCTAAATTTATTAATTTTAATTTTATGATTAATATTGTTTTACAAGCTTGTTTATAAATAAATTATTGAGTATCATTTTAAAATTCATTAACAATCTAAAATACTTATATAATAGATCAATTATATTAATATAATAATTACTATTAAGATAATATTACTATCTTATTATGAAAATAATTCATTAAAATATTCTAAAAAATATTTTTATTTCCTAAATAACATTCATAAGTTATGAATACATTTTAAATTTTACAAATGACTAATACCAACTTAAGTAATTTATTTTTCAAATAAAAAATAGGAACTAATTTAAAGTTATGTACAGGAATTGAAACTCCATGTTATATTATTTGATAAGCGGTATATTCAAAAAATCTGGTTTAACATAAATCCACTAAAGAAATTCAAAATGGGTATGTCCGTCTCAAATCCTACTTATATAATTAATTTACTATTTTATTCTGGTGGCTGGTTATATTAAATAATTTGAAGATAACAGCTGTTTTTAAAACTTTTTGAATTTTTCTAGTTTAATATTTTCTAGTTAAATTAGTTATGTTGTATGTATAATTGTTGAGCTGTTTTTTTTTTTTTTGTTTTTTTTTTTTATATAGTAATGAAAAATCTAATAAAAAACTAAAAAAGTATTAATTTACAATTATTGAAAGTTTTCAAATGAAAATTTAATAATCTAATTTCTACATTATAACCACTTTATTGTTTTATAATAATTATTTTGATATAATTGTATATCTGTATCTACTTTTTACAGATAATGATATATTAGTTAAGGTCCAAAAATATTTAAAAAATATCTATATAAGAAAAATGTATTATTTTACATATCTTAAAGAAGCTTCAAATAATTACACATATTGAAAATTTTTTACTCATAAATGCTTATTCACTAATTATTTAGGTTTTTTTTTTTAGAGCAAACTTAATTTTAATCGCATACACAGTTTCAAGCCCTGAACATTTATATTATAAACATACATAAATACATTATTTTTTTTATTTATACAAGCAATCTAAATTACTGAGATCTTGGTAAACTAATTTTTAAACTTCTAATCTAACTTAATCATAAAAATATAATTTATAAAATTTAATTGTGTTTAACATTTGTTCATAGGAAGTTATTTTAAATTGTTTAATTTATGACACAAATAAATATAAAGTTGTATAATGGCACAAAATATATAGCCTAAAGTAAATTAATTACTATAATTATAAAATATTAGTATGATAAAATAGTTTAAAAATAATTTTCAGACAGGAATTTAAATTTTAAAAATCAATCAAAAAGTAATTTATACTACTAAATTTAAAACAATGTTTTTAAGGTATTAATAAATACTTATTCTCAAAATGTAATGTAAATTAAAGTAAATGTTTTAAGATATTTCCATTAGAATCTTCAGCAACAATAGTTATACCTTTATTTGCTAACTGTACTGGAAGAATAAATGTACGTTTGTTATTATTTTTAACAAATTCCCACGAATGCATGACAAGCCCATCCTCTCTTCTTAATTGAACCACTCTTAAGCCATTTCTTGAAGTCAATAAATTTCTATAAATATAACGTATTAGTATAATTTATTTTATTTTTAAATATCTGTAAAATTAAATTAAATAACCTTTTAGTTACATAATCAATAGTGTTTTCATTGTTATTTTCTTCTTTAAAATCATTAAACCATCTAAAATAGTAATTAAGACCCAATTAAAATTATAATAGTACCTGGGTTTATAGCAAAAAAATATACTTATGAAAGGAAAGTATTGATGCACATCCCATAGACCAACAAATTATGTGTTTTGAATCATACTCATCTATTGCTTCATTTCCATTTGTATTGTTATTATTAGACATATCATCCTTCATATTAATAGTGTTTGAGTAATTTTCAATACATATTATATATCCTTTATTAGCTGGCTTTATTTCTTGAGCAATATTTTTATTGTCCAGTGTAAAAATCAAATGAACATTATCAAATCCTCTTCCCATTATGCCATATTTTGAATGGCCTAAATCAAATGTATGTCCCAATTCATGCCATACAGAACCTAAGGTTGTGCTAAAGCATCCACCAAAATTTCCTCTATAAAATAATTAATTTAAATTTTCCTTTACAATAAAAAAAATAAATAACATAAACACTACAATTCAAACTACCTGAAGCAGCTGTCATCCAATAATGTGCCAGTATCGACTTTTGCCATGTTCATGAAACATGGTAAAACTTCCTCTAACTTACTAGGCCAAGTGTAGAGACAACCTGTTCCAAATAATGCCAGTCCACCACCACCCAGAGCAACATGCCCATGTAAATTCTGTCCATCCCAATAGGTACATGATAGGAAGGCTAAATATTTTCTAGTTTTAGAATTTTGGCCATTAGTCAACTCTCTAGCTATATACTCCCATAATTTTTCAGGATGCATGTTAAATACTGTACGTCTTGTCAAGGAGCTTTTAATTATTCGACATTCTTTTTCAACTTGAAATGTTTTCTTTCCAAAACCTTTTTCATACATTTTTTCAGCTGTCAACATTTGAATTAATTTGGAGCATAATGTTATTTTATTGCAAGCGTTTTGAACAGAATTATCATGATTTACAGGGGCCTAAAATTAAAAAAAAAAATAAATACTTCTATAGATAACTAAGACATTTATAATTAATTTTAAATATATATGAGTAATTTTAGATAAATAGGTATTTAGTTAAATTATTAATTTGGATCGTATTCATTAAAGCCAGGAATTTACCTGAAATCTACCATCATGATCAGCACAAATTATATAAACTGGACACACAGTATAGTTAGTAACTCTTTGTTTGTATACTAATTTTGTGTTTAAGACTTCATTGCCGATTTTAAAAACCAACATATTATCGCCAATTTTTAATTCTATTATTATTTTAAATTTATTTTTAATAACCGCCCAGTGAGATTCTGCCAGTTGTTTACCATTGTTTGAGTAATGTTTAAGTATTATACTTGATTCGTTGTGTATGTTGACAGATCCTTTAATCAAAATAGTTGAATAAGTAAATATTTCATTATTTGTAATGTTGGTCAAATTAATTTTATTCATTTTAAATTTGTAGACAAAATAACATTTAAAAGTTAATAGTGCATTTGTAAAATAAAAATTTCAAAAATTATTAAAACAGCTATTAATATAATATGTAAGAAGGTACTGCAGTATTCAAGAAACCAGAATATAAATTTAATTTTTAAATCCGCGCTCGCGCAGTATCAGTACTAAATCAAAAATTCTAAATAGGATCAATGTTGTTATCACAATATCACTATAGAATTTATCAGTTAAAAACACATTTTCAAGGTGTATTTATCAGGAGACAGGAAGACAAGAGATGTCATAGATAATATATTATCTATGGATGATGTATACACTATACACTCGGACACTCCTGTCTCCTATGTCTATTGGCGATTGTCCACTCACAGTCTTATAGATGATGTTTCCTTTACTATTTCGGTTTTTGTATATTTAAATTTCTGAAAAAATTCTATTTAAAAACGTAAAATGAAAAATATATGCGCCAGTATGTAATCATGTAAAAAAAATTATAACGATAAAAATGTTTTATTTCGACTGACTGAAAATTATGTAAAGTATTTACAAAAACATTAATACATTTTGAAAAAACGAATATTCGATTAAAGAATTATTGTAGTTGTCTATGATATTGATGTACTTACCATAGTCCCAAGTCCGTGTTTTATAACTTATATTTTACATAAACTTATTATTTAAAATTTAAATTTTACCCTTAAAACACACGCCAGATTCACTCTTGACAATAATTTGTCACACACATTAGTAAAGATGACAGAATATAACTAGGATCATTATTTGAATAATAGCTATTATAGCCATGATGGACATAATACAATTATACAAAGCTATATTTACATAGTATATGTCTATAGATTATGCATTTAAATTTATAATGATTACATTTTTAAAATCTAATTAATGAGAAAATACCAACAGTTATAGACTAACACAAGTAAACAACTCTGGTAGATTTTACTACCAGAGACAAATTTACTGTGTACATTTTATGTACCTGTATCAAAATAGATCATAATAATTTAATTGATAAAATGTATAATCATTTACACATGGCATATGTAAAACCTGATTAATGAATTTGTATAACTAAAATTACTATAATATAAATTACCATCTCTGACACTAATATATCAATGGATCATCACAATCATCAGTTTCACAATAATTATATTTCCTCCAGTTAATTCAATCATGTTAATGAGTAGTTAATATTTATAGTATATATCATATATCAATAATTGAAAACCTTATTCAAAAAATAAAACAACTTTTTTAAAATAAGAAGGTTTTAATTTTATTAATGATAAATAGACTTAACACAAAAATTATATTATTTAGATAGTTTATATCGACCTCCTGTAAAAATCAAAAGATGTTGTTTAACTTTTTCATCGAGGAAAAGACGAAGTTGTGTAAGGCTACAATCTACACCAGTTCCTTGAGTAGCAAACATTTTCAACATTTGATGAATTCTATCTAATGGCAAAGAATCCAGATTTGTCAACATACCCACAATATATGACCAAAACACCTATATTCATAAAATAATCAATATATATTATATAGAAAAAATATAATAATTTTTATTAATCCAACTACAAAAATCTCTATACATTTAACATTAACCAATATATTTATGTTTTTAAATAAAAGTACCTGTAATTCTTCTTCTCTTTGATCTTGAGCAGATGCCACAGCACTTTCCATTTCATCATCATCATCACCATAAACAAATTCAGAATTACGACCAACAAAACTAGTGCGATTACCTTTTCCTGATATGCTTGTAGTTGGAATACCATCTTCTACGAAAGTAAAGGTGTCAAAAGATTTCTCTCTTAACAAACCCTACACAAATTATTTAAATTAAAAACTCATTAATGATTATTATGGTGAAAATATTACTTGGTTTTGCCAGAATCCTATCCGACGTCTTAAGGTCGTTGCTGGTACACGCATTTTTATACTTAAGTCATTAATGGTCCATTCCTCTAAAAAAAATTATTTAGGTTAATTTTTGTTTTAATTATCTTATTATTATATTAATTTTAAAAAAAAAGTAGGTAACCCATTGATAGTTTTAAATGTATACTTTATTGTTTGTGTAGTGAGAATTTATCTTGATTATTTATATGTTTTTTATTATCAATACATATTCATTATAAATTTTAGTTGGTTATAATCATGTTTAAAATTCAAGTACTTGAATATTCCTTATGTTGTATATATATATATATTAAAATTTAATTATTGAGCAGTAATATTATTATTTTTAAAATATAGAGAATTGTTGTCATTATAAAAGTATAGATCATGTATTCATGTCAAATGAATATTGGCAATATAGTCGGTTAAAATATCTATTGATGAACAATTATACCACTAGTGTGATACTACAAGACGTAGAGTTGCTAAATCTCTACCCATATTATTATTATTTATTATAATAGGGTTCATCTCACCACTTGAAAAACAAATAAATTACTCTATATTATTTTTGTTAATGGATGATCAATCTATTTATTATTAAATTAATTTAAATAAATGTTACTTAACATACCTTGCTCTTGAAAATGCCATATAATTGTAGCATGAATTGGCGAAACAGTAAAATTTAATGTTTTATCTTTTAACTCTAAATCTATATTAATAATTCCAAGATTGGGTTTCCAATTTAAAGTTCTATTACCCTATGAAAAATATTTTAAATTTACTTTGATTAGTTTTAGATTTTTGTAATAATATATCATGATTATCTCCTGACTAGTATAGCTAATCATGTGAAACGTTATCAATTGTACTAACCTTAAATGATTCAAATGCTTTTGTATAGTTATCCAAGTGTTCTTGAATAACTGAAGGTAACTCTACATTAAAATTATCTTTGAAATTAGGCCAAAATTGATTAGATACAATAATAGCTCTAACTGGAAATTCAAGTTTATTATTTAAATTATTAGATGATAAATTTGAAGTTGGATCAGAATATAAATGGTGATTAATACGTTTTGAGTCATATACATCTTTTAACATTACAGAACATGAATGCAACAATGAATCTCCAAATCTATAAAGTATAAATATATACATTTATTAATTTTTATAAGATTTATATTTTTAAATATAATTAAAACTTGCCTCAATTTTAATAACTCTAAATATCTTATCTCATCGCCTATATTGTCCATAAACTGTGTAAGTAGGCGATCAGCCAATAAAGCTCTGTATTCATTAACAAATAATTCTCTTGTACCATAAATATCGACAAGCATCGATACAGTATCCGAATTGCGAAAACGTTTAGATGATTTAGCTAAAAATAATGAATTAATAAAGTGTATTTATTAAAACAAATAAAAAACTTACATGGATTAGCGTCTACCGGATCTGGCATCCATTTAGCCCATTCTGCCATACTTTCTTCTTCACAAACATCATCTTCATCTAAAACATTTTCATTTCTCACTAGTTCATCAGTGAGATAGTGACCTTCTTCTGTAAGAGTAGTCATTACACATCGAACTGTATCCTTTCGACTTCGTAAATAAGCTCTATAATATAATTTGTGTAAAAATTATAATGAATAAAAATATAAAATTAACCTTTCAGCTAGCAACATGCTGTTGTAAACAATACACCATTTTTGTACTTTCATTTTTTCTTATATTTAATTTCTATCTTATTGGTGCTTATGGGTGTTCATCAAAAATGTTATTACCTATATTTTAGACTGTTTTTGAAGTTTATTTTTTTTTATGCAAGAGAGAAAAAAAATATGGATACGTCCATGAGGTACTCCAAGTGTTTAAGGTTTGTATGTTAGGTACAACATATTGTTTATTTTATTACTGCCAGTATTAATATGTATTAATAAATTCAGATTAATGAAACAATAATTAATGTATTAATATTTGACAAGTATATGATTATCAAAACATGTTAGGATTGTTGTAAAATTAACGCTACTCTTTTTTTAGTTAATAGTGCACTCACTAGAAAAATAATGATTAGTTTTTTTTACCGTATCGGCTGAGTAACTTCTTGTAAAAGTGCTCCACAAGGATCAATTTTTCTTAGTACTTTAATTGCAGCAGTATAAGCAGTTATAATATCAATGGTATTCACAGCTGGATGTAACAATCTATTATGTAAAGCATTTTGTAATTTTTTACACAGTTCAGCTTTAAAATCAGTCTTTTGTAATGTCGATGATAAGTCAATTACGGCTGGTTCGGAATCTGGGTACTCTACAAATATTAAAATATGTTTGAAATTATTCATTTTAATATTAAATATAAAGTAGTTTACCAATTATGATATTAAATAATTGATCAATCCTTGTTCTAGTATATGATTCATAAAGTAAGTGTTTAAGTTTCCTCATAAATACTGCTAAATTAGTATCTTCTATAATTGTAGCCATGCTACATTTTGGTTTGTATATATATTTCATCCAGTTATAAACATTTGTATCTATCCACTAAAATAAATAAGCACATTCAGATAACACAATACAATATATAAAAATAATCATTACTGTTTCTAAAGCTGATATGTGGTGTTCTCCAAAATTTTCTTTAGTTATTTCTTGAACTTCTGTTTCAATTTTTTGATGTATTAAATCCATTATCACATCACCAGCTAATGGTTCTAAAATACCAATTGTGATTAATTGCCTGTCAAAAAATGAAATTCATTATAAAATAATTAATCTCGAAAAACATTCAAATGAAATATCCATAATTACATTATTAGTAATATATAACATGTTACTTTATTTATACCCATCTTTTTTTTTTAACATAATAAATAAACAATACAAAAATATTTATTTAAACATGATTAATTTTTTCTACATACACCAATTATTAAAAATTAATAGTAATTTAAAGTTTTAAGAAATTTATTAGATTTTTTAATATATATTTTAAATGTTTAACTTACAAAATCATAACTGATAATATCATAATTTATTATACTTATATTAAAACGATACACACATTTAGTAGTATTTATTAATCTGTATAAATATACTACTATATAAGCTATTTAATGGTACAAAATTATACTATAGTTTCATACCGCATACAAATTTCTACAATAAACACATGTCATAATAATGAAGTTTAAAGTCTATAACATAATTTAATATGATAACAATTAACATTTATTTAATTTTAAGAAAAAAATTATTATAATTTAATAAACGGTTAAGTTTGTAATTAAATATGTTACGTATCATAATATTTGTTATATACTTGTTTTTAGTAAATTGTTTAAAAAAAAAATACTCTTTTTGAATTTGTAAAAAAATAATAGTGATTCCAATAAAAAAAGTAAGCAGTATGTGCACACACATACTGAAAGGGTCATACATTTGAAATTAGTTTGAAAACATATATTTTGGCACTCCCTGCAAACCTTATTTCAATATAAGGTCATTTAACTAAAATGATTATTGGTAACTCTTAGCATGAACATATTGTATGTAATACCATATTTACCAGTTAGTTAAATGGAATGATTCCAGTATATCATCACATCTACAAGCAGTTAAATCATGACCGCAACCATTACAATGAAATGCACCTTCTTTAGATGTATTTTTTTTATCTAAAAATATTTCAAAAAATAGTAAATATTTCATAACTCCAAATAATAAATTAAAAATATATCCATTTAAATAATTAAATCAATTTATAGTAATTTATACACAAAACTATAAAATAATAGATTTAATATCTTAAAATATTTTAGAACACATATTAAGAGTAACATACCTCCAATAATATCATCTTTGGTAAAAACTTTTAGTGCAACTGTATAAAATTGATAAATTATTGTATTATAATCGCTAGGGAGTTGAGAATGTAATAGAGCACAAATTTGAGCATTCAAATTTTTTAACAAATTTATTCTATTACTTTCAAATAACATCTGTAGACGATTTATTGTTTCAATATATGATTGGGCTAAATTAAATAATTCATCGATTGCATATTTAAATTTTACAAAACCAATATATTCTTCAGATACATCATCATGTGGTGAATGATTACATAATTCGATAACATCATTAGGAATAAAATAAAGCCAAAAATCATTAATTTTGGACATCAAATCTTGTTTGATTGCATGCATTACCATTCCATGAACAAAACTTATGAGTTTATTTTCTACAATAATTTTTTTTATCTCAAGAAATTGTTCATCATCGCATTGTTCAGTACACTGTAAAATAAATAAGCCCAGTATTATAACATAAAGTTCATAATTGTTTATTAAGATTTATCATAGTACATTAATACTATTAAAAGATTCTAGACATTAACTAAATAGGTAAGCATAATAAAATGTAGTTGAACTTCTCAATTTAAATCAAACAAAACTTTAAATTGTAATAATTGCATTTCATTACATTCACACTAACCTCCTCATCATTTTCTGATAATATCGGAAAAGCTAAGACAATTTCATTCCAGTACGATTTAGTAGTGTTTGTATCCATTTTGTAAAGTTATCCAAACATTTAAATTTGCTTTCTATTTAATGTTAGGAAATAAATATTAAAATAGAATACTAAGATATCATTTAATATAGTAGACAATAGTATGTGTCAGATAAGTATTTCAACATTTAAATATTACTGTTTCAAAAATTGAATAAATACTTTTATTTTTTTACTTATAAATTTGAAACACGGCTATAGACTATAGAGTATAAGTAATAGGTATTAGGTTATTAACTAAAATGTTCAAACAAAACAGTTTGATAACAGCCAACCTGATAATAAACATTATTTATTTACAGCATAGTAGTTTATCACCACAACGATAACATCAATTTTTTCTAATTTTATATTATTTATATAAATTTCTTTACATTTTCATTTTCATTTCTAACTATTAAATTTACGAATTATTCATATAAAAAAATATACAGTATTTAATTTTTAAACCCAAAGTTTGTAAATGTAATAACAGATTTCTCATAAGTAGTTTTTTTTAAAACCTTAAAAAATAAAAATACACACTAACTTAATGTTTGTATAGATTCTATAAGCCCCAAATGTTGGTGAAATTAAATATTTAATTGAAGCTTGGAAACAAGTGTTTACTACTCACCCTATAATAAAATACCACTGAAACATCCTTAAATTATTCTTAAGCAGTTGATAAAAAATATACTTGATACTTAAATATAACTTTTAAGGTTCAACTGTTAAAGTCTATGATAAAGCTTAACTTTTTCATGTTTAAATTATATTCTGCTGGGACTATAATTATTGCTCGTTACTCAAACAAAGCTGGAAAGTTTTATTGATTCAAATAACATTTAAGCATTTATTTTATATTATTAATATTACATTTTTGTAAGGTATTTAAGTGGGAAATCTACTTGTACATCCCTATGCCGGTTTTGTATTTTGAATTTTGTGTTTATAAACAAAGCAATAGTAAGTTAGCAATATCCATACAAATTCCCTCTATGATCAGTAAATCGAAAAAAAAGCAACAATCTATACTTGAACAATAATTGCCAGGTATTGACATATTATAGTTTACCCAGCAACACTCATAAACATGACTATAAAACACACCAATTTCATATCATTCTTAAACCAGAATGGTCATAGTAAGAATACCTACAATTTTTACAGCAAAATAATGTAAAAAATATTACAATTACATAAAAACATTTCACAAAGACAATTATATTCTATATTCAAGTGCCTTAAATGACATAATTAATAGAATACTATTTTATTTCCAACAAAATTGGTTTCTAAATAAAAACCTCATGACTACTAAATTATAAGATAACAATAAAATATTTGTATACAAATTTTACATTATTGAACAAAATGATTTATTATTTGTTTCATCAAATGAATCCTTTAATGTTGAATTTTGTTGTCGTTGGGTTATGTAATCTGGTAATGGATCATTCCAATTTTCTGGTGGACTAGTTCTATTTTTCCATACATCATTAGCATAAAATGTTTTCCATCGATTTCTTCTTCTCATCTTTTCACTATTAACCAAGGTTTCCTTAAAAAGTAACAAATTGTTAGTACTATTATAAATGCTAATTTGTAAAGGATAATATCCTTAAAGCTAGTTACAGCTGCTTGAATATTTTTGTAATTTTTCCATTTTAAACAATTAGTATAGTCTTCGTGCCAATAATTGCAATCTATTGTACTTCCATGAACAAACATCTGATGTAATCTTGATGATATTGAAGTACACTCACTATACTCATTATTATATATTTCACATGGACGTATCTGGAATAAATATTCTTGTTAAAATGTTATGTTATCAAAATATATTTATTAGTAATTTAACGTTAATATATAATCTAGCATAATATTAAAATATACTACTACTTGAAATATAACAATGGGAGTATAATACTTTTATTACTTCTAATATTATTTATATTTTTATTTTAAAGTAGTATTTAGTTATTTAAAATTAAGTTTGTTTTAGATAGACTTAAGTATTAAGGTCAAATTACAAATATTATTAATCACATTTTATAGATACAAATAATACATAATATTTACTTATTTAAATTCTTATTTTCTATAAAAAAATTTTATAGTTACCATCCATAAATCCAAATCTTTGGATTTTGCATCTGTATTTTCATCATTCATATCTACAATTGAAGTAATCAATCTACGTATATATTAAGCAAAGAACAATAAACATAAAAATAATTTATACTTTTATAACACTACCTATAAAAATATCCAATATACTTTAAATTAAATATTATATTTAATAATAAAAATATTGAAAGTAAAATTTATAATTAATAATTGATATTTCATTTTTTAAACATAAAATTTCGTATACATTTGTGTCATTTGTGATATTAATTTTTAATTTCCATTGCCGGCATGAATTGTTAAGAAAATATTTGAAATAAAGTCAAAGACATTCCTTATTTTGAATTTTGAACGCTTTTGTAAGTGATAACATTCAGCATATCTTATTTATCTCACTATCTCAGATAGATAACATGAATTGTATGTTTTAACATGTTATAATTTATAAATGTACTTCTTAGTGCTTACCTATATATATTATATTTAAATCAATAAATAATATTAAAATTCTGGTTCCTTACTTACCTAGTCTTCAATAAATATGATTTTTAATTCATTGAGAATTTGTATTGTTTTGCTATCCATCATATTGGTAAGTTTGCCTAATATCAATGGACAATCAGAATCGAACCGAGAACTTTATGACATCGAAGGTACAGTTATGCTGCCTAATTTAACAACTTCCTGGTTGGCCGAAACTGTTATACAACTTAAAGGAGGTGAAGCAATTGGTTTTCTTAGGTAAAAAACTTAACACAGTAATAAAGTTTATTTTTGAAATAAATTTGTTATCTTTCATTAAAATGTTTTCAATTTGTTCAAATTTATCATTTATTACCTTTTTATACCTATACTCGTATTTTATTTTGAACTGTATTTTAAATGTCTCGAGTATATTATAATTTATACACTGCCAATTTTAAATATATTATACTAACCATTAGTTACATAATTAGTGATTTTTTTAATTTCATTCAAAAAAAAATATTGCATAAAATTAAATAATATGTACATTTTGCAGGAAAAATGGTTCTTTTCTAATTTCTAAAGTACCATCAGGATCATACATTGTTGAAGTAGTCAATCCAAATTATGTCTATGAACCAATCAGAGTGGAAATTAATTCGAAGGGCAAATACCGCGCCCGAAAAGTAAATTACATTCAATCATCTCATGTACATCAGATGCCCTATCCATTGGAGTTTGTTAACTATATGCCTGCCAAATACTTTTATACTAGAGAACAATGGAAAGTCACAGATTTTCTTTTCAATTCAATGGTAAATCTTAGCGTTTCTATTTTAGCAGACGTCAGTTACCTATATTGAGTTAATTTAAATAAATACTCTTTGTAATGTTTAGGTGTTAACAATGGTGTTGCCTCTTCTTGCAATATTAGTTTTGCCAAAATTAATGAATGATCCAGAAACTAAAAAGGTTTAATTTTTGTTAACTTACATCAGTTGATAAACATATTAATTTTTATGTTAAAATATTTTATAGGAAATGGAACAATTAACCAACTTAAAACATGATATGCCTGAAATGTCTGAAATGATAACCTCATTTTTCACTGGAAATTCACCAACTGCTGAGAAACAAAAAGAAAAAGCTAAGGCTATAAAAAGTTCAAAAAAATCCAACAAGAATAATTAATGTAACAATTGTAAATTTACCAAAATAATGTTAAGGTTAGGTATTTTGTACATATATATAAAATCATAAAACATTAATAATAGTATGTATTTATACAAAAATGTTATATAAGTAGGTTGACATAATATGTATTATATATTATATACACATAAAATATTCTATAAACATATAATTGGGAAAAATACATTTTTTTATAGAATTAAAAATAATACATATTATTATATTTGAGTGTTATAGAATTCTATATTTATATATGGACATGACATTGTCGCTTATATTCCAATTTATTGCAAAAGATAAAATATATAAAAAAAACAGTAAAATAAACGGAGTTAATAATACTTCTGTTTTATGTAAAATGGGTAAACCTGAAAAAAAAATTGTTTTTACATAAATCAAACATAATTATTTATGTATATTAAGGGTATGTCTAACACTACAATAACTGTTAAAATATAATATCTAGTTTGTGTTAAAAGATGTTCTAAAATAATACAAATTATACTTGTGATAAATATTTTAATTTTTACTTTTCAATAACTTTTTTTTTATTATCTATAATTTTATGGCACAAGAATATACTAGTTATAAATATTAGATGATAAAATATTTTAAAAGTAAATATATTTTGAGGATTAATAAGATGAAAAGATAAAAAATTAGTGTACTATATTCTATAAATATTACATAAGTACATTTTTAACTTAAAAGATACCTACTAAATATTTAATACTTACAGCTGTATCCTAAAAATGTTATGTACAGATAATAACCAATAGCTATAAGCCATAGTGTGTTGCCAATAAATAAAGGTAAAAACCAATCGTGTCTGAGAAATACTAAAGAAAAAAAAAAAGTTATTAATTAATATTTTCATAGAACAATTTTAAATATTATTTAATAGAACATAATGGCAAATGTTTGTTATAACTCGTTGCTAGAAATGGACTGAAATACACTGATTTGAAATATTAACTTTTATATCAATTCAAGTTAAGATTGGAAAAATATTAAGTCAACATTAAAAAATAATATAGAAAATTTTAACTTGAAGTTTCTAACAATATTACAATCAAGGAAATAAAAATTAATTATTTTTATAGAAAATAAAATTTCCAACACAATAATTAAACCTGTGATCACAGTCACTATCAATAATGTATTCTGAGAATTTTGTCTATCAACTATTTGTATTTGTATATATTTAATAATTATGATATTAAAAACTGACAATATAAAAAAAAATTTTACCATTGTATAGGTATACTTCCAGTTTGTAAAATTTCCCATTTTAAACTTATAACAAGTAAGAACCCTAATGTAATGATAATAGATACTATTTGACCAATAAAAATAAAAATATATAAATTAAACTTTAGTGTCCCTTATCAAGAGTTTAAGACATAAAACGGTATAATTTACTGTTGAGTAATAATAATATTATTGTTGTGTTATTATATATATTTATATGAAAATACTTATGTATAGGATGATTAAATACAATTTATTAGACTAGTGGATTTCAACCTTATTTTTACAATTTCCCATCATAAATATAAATTTAATTTAAAAAAAAATTATACATACTGTGATAAAAAAACAATTGAAATATATGAGATATCACTAATGTTGGTACAAAAGCATTCAAATGTATATCAAATGCATAAGCCCATTCAACATCTTGCCCTTTGTAGTTGGACTTAATTAAATATTTGTTGGCTACTAACCTATAAATTATAATAAAAAGTATACTATACACTATTAATCTGTATGCAATATGCTGTCAATAAAGAAAAAGTATTAAAGAATCTAAAGCTGTACTTCTATGAATTTGTATACTTGGTTAATATTTGATTATTGGTATCCCTTTTCAATAATTTAAGTTAAGTGTAACACAAATCAAAAGAATGACCAATAAAAATTATTATATTTAATAAATATACTATATAGTGATTAAAACACTATACACAAATTATTTGGCCATTTAATTATTAGTAGACTTGATAAGTAAACCAGACATTGGAAACCAATTAATGAAAAGTTTTAAAATATGGAGAAAATTAAAAAAGAAATTTTATTTAAGTATAACTTTAATATTAGTTGATTTGTATAAACACAGAAAAGTAACTGATTTAATTTCTGATTTCTAAATGGATAGCATTTATTCTGCATATTATAGAATTTATTAAAAATACATACCATAACACTGTACTTATTATGACACCGGATAACAAACAGTCAACTGTTACAATATACAATAGAAATTTTAAAAATTCAATGAAACCAAGTCTTAAAACGTAAGTAAATGCTATTGACGAAACTGAAATAAATTAAGTTAAATTAAACACATACATAGAAAGGTTACATTAAAATGTTTACCACATAGTAATCCACTTAAAAGCACCAAGAATGCAGGGTCATCACGAGCAAATTGCAGTTTAGTTTCTAAAAAAAAGTTAAAATTAAATGATACAATATTAACAGAACATAGAATTCTTACCTTTTCTGTGTTGAAAGTTTCGATACACTTTCTGTGGATTGATAAATAAAAACGTCATTTGCCACAATGCAAACTCAAAATCCATTTGCTTAAAATTTGTTAACTTCCGCAAGTAGCGGTAGCGTTTTACAGCAGCAGACATACATGTTCTGTAATATTTTTAAATATAAATATTTAATCTATGCTAGTTAGGCAACAATTGAACGATTACAAACCGCTGTGTTACTGGTGAAGGCAAATATGTTAAAGATGATGTCGATCGGAAAGAATTCACGCTGCTTGGCATTATATTATATGAAACACATTCAAAAATAATATTTTAACTATTTAAGGATTAATTTGTTAAAATTTTAAATAAAATTATTTAACTAAATATTCAATACAAAATTTATTCAATGAAATGTTAATGTTTGGTTTTTATTTAAATATGAATAATTCGAGACATTTATGTTCTAAGATATAAACATTATGAACTATAATATTTATTTGTTATTTCATTTTTGATATAACTATTTATCTCTGAGATAAATTTAATATTTTATCTATGGCAGGTTCAGCGCTTTACAAATATGATATGTTATCAGTTGATCTTGATAAAATTAAAAACATCATCTTTATAATATTAAACTTAAAAAGTTTAGTACAAAATAATAATTTCATGTAATCATGAAAACGATCGAACTTGGCACTTAGCAGTCTTTTATCAATATTTCCAAATTTCAATTTTCATTTTTTTTAATGAAACGTTTGATTTCAATTTTATTTCGTAATTTGTGGTTTCCACTTTCATTAAGCTTCAATTTATATTTTATAGTTTATTTTCTAATGTATTCAGTTAATATGGATTTGAATGATTATGCTATTGAACAACTTTTATCTGTTAACTATGATCTAAGTGAAGATGAATTAGATAATAGTGATTTGGAAAATGGTTTAGAAAGTTATATATGATAAAATTGTATATTATGATAAAAATTTTGATGAACACTTAGAAGGTACTAATATATTTACTAATTTATTATTAATGTATTATTTTGCATACTCATTAACATTTTATGTTAGTCACGAATAATGAACAGTTACCAGTTAAAAATATTATACCAGATTTAGATATTGAACAGTTACCTATAGAAATAGTAAAAGAAGATAATACTAATATATTCATCCTAGATTGCAAATTGCAATGTAGATGTAAATATCCCCAATATTTCAAAAAGATCATCAGTGAGAAATAAAAATAACACATTGCCTCAAAATGTTACCAAATAGACATATAAACCTCCAAAAAAATCTTCAGAATTTTTGCATTTGAAAATGGAAAGATGGTAGTTTTATAACATCTGATCAAAATTTAGTTTTCAAAGAAATGCCTTTATCTGACAATATATTAGAATTAGATACACCTTTACAATTTTTCACTTATTTTTTCAATGAAGAACTTATGCAAAATATTGTAAACTGAGTTATATTCCATTCAAAAAATGTTAGTAAACCTATAAATTTATCAATGATTGAGTTCAGAAAGTACCTTGGAATTTTTATATATGCTTCTGTTTTCCGTGTACCTAATGTGTGAGACTACTGAAGTGTTGAACTTCATTTTTCTCAGATTGTTGATGTTATGTCTCTAAGGCGCTATGAAACTATTCGTCGCCTCGTCGGCTTCTACATTTTAATAATAATGACACTATGCTCTCTAAAGACAATCCTAATTTTGATAGATTACATAAAGTAAGAACTCTTATAGACCATTTAAATACAAAATATTCAAGTGTTCAATGTAATCAATATTTATCTGTAGACGAACAGCTTTGTGCAACAAAAGCTAGAAGTTATTTAAAACAATATATTCCTGACAAACCACACAAGTGTGGCTATAAATTATTTGTATTGAGAGATGATGATGGTTTTTCTTATAAATTAAGGTATTTATTGGTCAAGAAATTTAGGAACAATTTCGGTTGCCAAATGAACCAGACTTGGAGGCAAGTTCAAATGTAATAGGTAGTCAGACTTACCAGAAATGTACCACAAAATAAAAACCATAAACTTTATTGTGATAATTATTACACTAGTATACTTTTGTTTGAGTTTTTGTATCAAAAAGGTACATTATCAAGCTTTAGGAACTGTACGGTGTAATAGAATTGTTAACTTCCAAATGACAAATATGCAAAATAGGTACCTAAAAAGAACATCAGTTGATAAAGTATCATCTTTGGAACAGCACCGTTGTCTTTAGTTTTACCACAGAACAATAGTTTTACGGAACGACAATAAAGTGGTCACATTTTTATCCACATATTGTGGAAAAGATCCAATTTCTATTGTAAAACGTTATGATAAAAAGATGAAAACTCAAATAGGAGTACATTGCCCATTTTTAATTTAAGAGTATAACCATCATATGGGTGGCGTGGATTTACTTGATAGTCACATAGGCAGGTACAAAATTAAAATTAAGTCTCGAAAATGGTATATGAGAATATTTTACAATTTGTAAACAATGATAGTGGTGAATTCATGGATCCTATATAAAAGAATTTGTAAAGCTAGTCTTAAGATATTGCTCCCAAGTTTACTTTAGCTGGTTGGAGAAAAGAGCTTACTACACATTATGTAAAATTAGTGAAGTAAGACCGTAAAAAGGAAGACCCTCTACACCTCTGCAAAATAAAATAACTAGCACTAGGCATCAATCGTTTAGACCTTCAATGGATGTGATGATGTGAGAATAGATCAAACAAATCATTGGCCAATTCGAATGAATAAGAGAGGGCGATGTAAATATCCAAATTGCAAAGGTTTTATAAACAACCAATGCTTAAAATGTGCAATAACAAATCACATACATGTTTTCAATCATATCATAACAAATAAATTTAAAAAATAAAATTCCATTTCTTTATTTTAACATTTTATAAAGTTTAGTAAAGTTAAAGTTATATTTAGATAATTATTATGTTAATTTTGATTTGTTTTCTATATTTCATCTTGGTAAATAAAGTTTGATGAAATTTTATATTTTCAAGTCATTTGCACACTATAGTAATTTTGCAACATGTTTAAAATCTGTTTTTCATAGTAAATATGGCTTGTACAATTTTTTAAATATCATTTTAAGATTCTACGCTTAAAAATTAGATAAAAGAATTTGGTTATAAAAAAAGTCGTGCATTTAAGGGGTTAATATTTAGTTCATTAAGTTATAAATAATAGGTACTCACTAAAATTTAGACAATTTATAAAAATAATATTTCATATTTTTATTTTTGGTTATGTAACTTATAATAGTTCATAATTCAAATATTACACATATTTAACAAAAATATATCTATATAAATGGCATGATGCAAACATTAGACATATAACAGCATTGAATGTTTATTACTTGAGTAAAATGTTCATACATTTGAAAGTTTTTACTGAATAAACAAAAATAAATTATAAATCATTTACGAATTTTAATTATATTATTACTAATCCTACTACAAAATTTAATAGTACATAATTGCATATTTAGTGGTTTTTATATTCATTCATTTATTGTTAAAAAAAAATTTGTTGTTGACAGCAAATTAAGATTCGATTATTATTGTCAAAATAAATTAGACCTAAACAGCCTATTAATAAAATTTTAAATTTATTTAATGGCATGGCACTAATTAGTATTATGAATTGTAATATTAAAAAAAAATACATTCATTTAATAATCTAAATTATTTTATTTTTAAATGTATTTTAAAATAATATTTTCAATTACCAATTAACAAAAGTGAAAACTTTTTTTAGTAATACCTAGTTTTTTTTTTTACTTACAATCACAAATTAAAAAACAATAAACTAAGGACATATTCAGCACATACAGTGAATGTTCAATCAACCATTTCTATTATCCATCATGGTAAAAAATAAAAAAAGAAGACGAATGAGGACAAATGTAACACAGGTGTTACTTCTTTATAAAGTATAAAACATTCCTACCCAAAGTTATAACATCAAAATAATACATGACAAATTAATAAGAATACATTTTTAATAACTAAGTTAATTGAAAATTTTTTATGAACTATAAGTTTAAGTTTGATAATTATTAAAAGTTTAAATAGCATATTACAGAAGTTTCAAGTGTAACTTTTGAGTACTACTTAATCTATAATAAAAAAATTCGCTTCACATTTAATAATTAGTGTAGATCAATCATGATTAATTCAATTCTTTTGGTAAATACCAGATTATCAAGTTTGAAAAATAAAAAGTGTAAAGGAATAGAATTTAAAAGGGAAATACATTTCAGTAAAACTTGATCAAATATAGATTTTCTTTTCAATTAGCAGATGAAGTGATAATGTTGACAATATAATTCAAAATTTGATCACTGCATTTTTTTTTGTAAATAAAATACCAATAATTATTTATTTTAAGGATTTGAAATTCAAATTTTTAAAAATATAAATATTAAAAAATAAGCTATCGCCATTTAAGCACAGAATTGATGTATTATTGGATTCAAATTCAACAGTCCGTCAAAAGTAAAAACTCGAGCCACACCAGAAATCTACTATATTAGAATATTTTAATCTATCACTTAAAAATGTGTAACTATGAAAATTATAATTCAATAAATTAAATGAATAGTCACAGGATATTAATAACCATTGTTATTCTTTAAATGAAATATTACAGTAAAACAAAATATCACTTTTAGAAATTGTTTTTATTTATTCATAATAATAAAAATCCACAAAATTAAGTTTTTAAGACCTTGGTCTCTCCTTCTTTTCTTTGTATAAAGCAAGTAATGAAACATTTGCTACTTTGACTACCTTGAAACGAACCCCTGTAAACCAAATAATATATTAAAGTAAAAAGTTTAATTATGTAATTCATAAAATAATAGGAATTTAATATAAATTACCGGGAATATCTCCTACAGCATGACCTTTCCTACCGAATCCAGCTACCAATACTTCGTCATTTTCTTCAATATAATTTAAACAACCATCTCTGGGTACGAAAGCTGTGATTTTCTTACCATTCTTGATAAGTTGTACTCGGACACACTTACGAATAGCAGAGTTAGGCTGCTTAGCTTCAACTCCACTGTAATTTAAAAAATTGTTTTAATACACTGTTTTATTATAAATTTATTAATCTCACAGAAAATTACTTACACTTTTTCTAAAACAATTCCTTTAGCGTGAGAAGCTCCTCCGAAAGGATTGGCCTTCCATCTTGTTCCCAAATGTGCTTTTTTGTAGTCTTTGTCGGCCCACTTTTGAACACGACGATGATTCACATGTTTACGTGCCGTACGAATACCACGAGGTTTACCTATGATATTGATATAATTACAAGTTTAATAAACATTTACATTATGAATAAATGAATTTGAATACTTTTAGACAATCAAACGTAATTTATCTCTTAAATCAATTGTTTAAATGTATCGCGTCATTTAGGCAATACAATCTAGATATTGTTTAATAAAAAATAATCTATCAATTATTAGACTAACAGCAATTTACGTAAGACAAGTTATTGATTGTAACAACCACATGGTCAAAATTTTTTTTTTTTAATTTTCGAAATATTTACAAAAGTTATATTGCTTACCCATAATGTATTACGATTCCTAAATTTGCGATGAACTAAAAAATGGTTTTGGTCGATAAATAAGGTTCGATCGCACACGAAACGTGAAAACCACGAAAACGTACACAAAATGTAGAAGACCGAAATGACAGAGAGAGAGCAAAAACTTGGGAGTTGGAAGGGAGATACGATGCTAAGCAGTTGTTGTAAACCGGACGATTGTCACGTTATACAGTGTCGCCAATGTATTCAACTAAATATGGTAAGCTATCGTTTCTTCCAGGAGATTAAATCTATCCACATAAATTGTTGACAAGAGGTTTATTTGTTAATCGCTATCAAATAAATTATTATGAACAATTTTTATTTTGTTTTCAAAATTCTTAAATTTGAATTTGACCTTACATCTCAATAGTCAATTATTCGTCATATTATCTTTAAACGTGATGTACAGCTTAGACCATATTAGGTTTAAAGTATTGCAAAATTAATTTGCTTGATCATAGGCTACAGAGCTTAGTTTACTATGCACAATACAAATAGATTGGACGGCGTTAAACAAAAGTGATGAATAGTTGGATGATTATGTACACTTGGGAAGTTTACGGTAATTTGAATTAAAAATTTTTACGACTGTGAAACAATTATGAACGTTATAAAGTCAGATGATAAACTTGTGTTGAAATCTTCTATACAAGATCCATTGAAGCATTCATGCATAGAATATTGTGTGGAAAAACGCAAAAAATGTTCCAACACGGAATACTTTATCATCGTCATGTCAATACTAATAGCAATATATTCATATTTAAGCAATTCTATAGTTATATGTCCAAAAAATATTTTTATTATTGCAATTTTCTTGATTATATTTGCATTATGGTTTAGTTTTAAAGTTTCAAATGAATCATTGCTGATAACAGCTCCCATTGGATTACAATTAACCACAACTTATATAACTGGACATCAAAGGGTATTTTCATTACCTTGGGAAAGTATTATTGATGTACTTATTGTTGACATTATTCATACTCAAAAAGTATTATACTTCTTGGCAATTAAAACACCCCAAAATGGGATAGTAACATTATTTCAGAAAAGTGCACCAAGGATACATTTTTTAGAAATAATATACAAGGATGTTTACAGACTATTGGAAAACAACAAATGAAATGACTAGCAGATATCAGACTTGATATATTTTTATTTTGTTACATTATAAAATTGATTATACGTCCATTTTGGGAAAACGCGTTTATATAAATTTAAACATACAGTGTCTTGAGATTTTACCTGACCATCAAATCCACATTTCATGTGTCCATGAGTACCTAAAATTATAAATAATTATATTTAATATAAATAGAAGACATTTTTAAACATTTGTATCAAATTGTTATTTTAAATTTAAATAAAATAAGTTATAAGTTGTAAAACATACCTAAAGGTTCTTTAATGTGTCCTCTCCTTCCATATTTTGTGCGTAGCTCAACTGGTTTGAACCAATCAATATCTTCTCGATTGAAAAACATAAATCTAACTACAGCTGAATGTTTGTGTACTTTAAATGGATGACCACTCAGAACTGTTCTTTTTACAATTACACGATCTGGGTTTATTGATAAGACATTTCCATTTCCAATTATTTGCTAAAAAAAAAAAAAAAAAAATAAGTAAATCAAACAAAAAAATTATTATTAAATACTTACAAATGAACCATCTTTACAATGCTTCATAGCTATAACTGAGCAAGGAGGATAGATAATAGGTGCAAACATTGTAGCAACGACTATTGAATCTTGATGAAAAAATCTTTCATACTAAATGAATAAAATAAAATAATAAAAATAATTCAATATAATTTTCAATCTTATTTACTTTAAATTTATTTCCATTTGTGTGCTGACTAAATATAGGTTCTGCAGTAAATCTACGAAAACCACATTGGAATATAAGCTCTGATTTGGATTTAATTGGTTCATCAAATTGTATAGTAGATGGTCGTTTTAAAACTACATTTAGCACAGACATTTTTTGCTCATGAGGCATAAGACCAAATAGTACAACAGGATTACGAGCATCTCTTGAATGAAACATTTTTGACGGTATATTTTTCACATGAACTGTAATGTACCAATCAGGCTAAAAATGGTTTTAAAATAAATTATTCTAGTTAAAAAAAAAAGAGGAACCCATTTTAAAATAATTACAATGGCACCAGTTATGTTTTCCAAATTTTTAAACATCCTTTTCCTTGTTCTATCAAAATTTTCAAACTGAAATATTCTAGCATATTCAAGGGGTAAATTTTCTTTAACATCCCATGGTGATGTGCGAAATGATTGTAAACCTCTATATTTCTGAAAACGAATTCTTGCTGGCATATCATAAGGTGTATCTATTTCATCGGGAAACATTTGATCAGCTTTTGCTTCTAAAAGAAAATATACTCATTAATATGAATTGTATATATTATAAGTTTATGATATAAAGTTATAAAAACCCATTATTTAACAGAATATATTTAAACAAGTCAAATAGTGATTCAAATAATTTAATTTAACATTTATTAATAATTTATACTCTATTACAGCGTTTCTTAAACCTATTTATCTGTGGAACCCTTTTTGATGTCCACTTTTTTTTTTTTAGAATTATTTGTGATTAAAATTTTAATTATTTCAAATAATAACTAAATTATACCACTATTATTATTTAATATACAAACATTTTCCCCCTACTAACCACTACTAATCTTGAGTTAGAATTTTTTAAGTAATTTTCTTGAAAACTTTGAAAAAAATGACAAGTTTTGCGAAATTCTGAAGTAATCTCTATGGAACAAAGTTTAAGCAATGCTGCTCTATTCAAATTAAAAGAACAACCCTGTGGTAACCAATCATTATTAGTTAATGAACAGATAACACCTATTTGTTATACCCATCAAGTTAACTATCTGTATATCTGCTTTGTAGTTAAGCTACAACCCTGTGTACAAGTTGGCTCTTGAATTAACTTCTTAACTTGAATATAGTTTTACATTATGTTATTTGGAGAAACCATAATTAAATTATTGAATAATAGTTATAGATATTATAGTACTATAATATTTTATCAAATTATTTTTACTTTAAAATAGAAACTCAAACCTTTTATTTTTTTTAGTATTTTATCTTCTTCATCTAAATCAAACTGCAAATCATATTTATCAGCTTCAATTGGTGCTTCAGAAGCAACAGAAGTCATAGACATAGTTTCCATGTGATCATCTATCATACTCTTCATTTCATTATCAGAAGTTTCATCTTCAATTGAATAAAAATCATCAGAATCTTCATTAGATTCTGCACTTTCGTCATCTGTTCAATTAAAATAAAATTAAAAAACGTATATTTGTTATAATTGAAATTTATAAATTTAAATCAATATTTATGCATGTCATTATAAATACATTATACATACCGTGGTCAGATTCTTCATCAGGAATCCAAGCTGATTGATATACAGACATACCCTGAGGTACACGTTTAATCATGCGTTTATTTTTAGATGCCACTTCTTTCATTTCTTCATCAGTAGGCCAAGTTTGTTCAGCATCCATTGGATCAGGTACATTTTCACAAATTAAATTTTCCTTTAAATCATCTCATTTTATAACATATTTTTAAAATAAAAATATTTTTGAAAAAAAATACTACATACTTGAAGTTTAGGATTAGCAGTTTCCAAGATTGTAGTTTGCACATCTTTCCCAGTAAAACTTTTAATAAACTCGTTAGAAGTCAAATCTATTTGTTCCATTTGAAAGTCACCCCACCCAGGAATATGTACTAGAGAATTAACAGAAAGGGTTTGTCCTCTCAAAAAACCGGTAACTTTCATAGTACCTACATTTTCCTAAAATTAAATTGTGAATAATATATTTATTTAATAATATTTAGATTAGAATAAAATATTTTAAGTATACAAACATCAGAGCTAGGGATAAAAGCTATTTCTTCAGCTAATAAATGTGGCCGTTTATCACGAAATGTAATTGATCTTTTTTTTTGTGAACTTATGCGTCTAAGAACATTCAAAATATCTGTAGAAGTATCGATTTTACTGACTTTTTCATCGGGTAGCCAATTTTCTATATCTTTTTGGATGTTCTGTTTTGTTTCATTTTGTTTCTATTAAATAACTATGGATTAATATAAATAGTATAGATTAAGTAAAATATCAGTAGTTACTAACTTTAATAGGTATTTTTTCAAGATCTGTAATAGCTACAACAGTTGAAGGAAGTCCTTGAGCTAATATACAAGTCATTAGTAAATCAACATCTTGATCAAAGCCACTCTCAGCCGAAACTATAAACAAAATAGTGTCTACTACTTTAAGTGTATCTAAAAGTCCAAAAACACTACTACAGTCAGGTCTAATGAAAGTAAATGCTTGTTTGAATTGTTCAACCCTATTTAAAAAAAAAAGAAACATTCAAATTTAATAAATTAGTTTTTAACTTCAGAATTTGCCAAAATTAATGTCAAAAAATGTATAATCTTCACAACTAACAAATGAAGCAAGTATTTCGTCATTTTTAAAATATTCTGAAGTTGACGATTTATCAATAAAATTCAAGTACTTAAAGTGCATAAGCTATAAAATAAATATTATTTGGTATGGTCATAAGTTCTTTTTAGTCAATTTCAATTGGTAAAATTACAAAAAATGAGGGCCACATAATTAATATTATTGTTATATTTTATAAACAGTAAAAATAATAATTATAATAACCATAAATGAGAGTATCCTTCAGGTGCAACAGATGTTGTTAATTTTACATCTGCTTTTTGTAATACATTAACCATCTCCATCAGTTTTTCATTGACAAATACATTATTACTTAAAGGTATAACAGCAACTAAGTGAGGTACATTTAAAGACCTCCGTTTTTCATTCAAAACATTTTCTGTTTTTGTTTTACGTAAAATCTTAGCTTGATTCCTACGTTCCATACGACTTAACTGGTGATTAGCTTTAGATTTGGCTGAATTCTGTGCAGTACGTCCTAAAGTACAATATTTTATTTTTATTTACATTTAAAATTTTAATTTTCAATAGTATTTTTAAATACCTTTTTTCAAGATTTCTAGAGTTCCTTTACTTCTGTGTCGACCAGTTTTATGTTTTTTATTGTCTTGTTTAGCTGGCCCAGGTCTGTGGACCGCTTGATTTTGGTTTTCAGGTTTCATTCTTAAAAAATTATTAAAGGAAGAGGCTATAAACACATCCGACGTGAATTCGTGAACTACACACTATACAGAATTGGACAGTATACAGTTACAGATTTTAAATCAAATTTTTTTCAATGCATGAATCTCAAACGCACATGCGAAATGCACACATCAATAACTTTAATATTATCATTTATCATTTTATCAATGTATTCTAATTTTCTATAGATAATAAAAAATGGAGGGAGGCCTAGGCTATGGTCCAGTGTCGCCAGAATGTTTGTGAGGTTAGCAATTTTATTGACTTGCCTATCAACGAGGAAATTCTTATAATGACCCATATATTGGCTTTAACAATCAGTATTTTGAGATTTTCATTTTGTACCCATGTCTGCTTACTCTGCTTGGGGTGGAGCTCATCATACAAATATAACATTTATGTTTAGAACTACAGTAAATACATTCTTCAGAATTGCTATTAATAAACTGTTTCGTATAAAAATCAATATTATTTCTGATACTTATAATTTAGTATTTACTAAATTTAAAACAACTCCGTAACAAACATTTTTTTTGTAATTTATATAATTGCAATCATAAAGATAGTAGTTTAAGCACAATTATACTACATACTTAAGGGAAACAATGTTTTTAGATTCTATTAATATAATAGCAAATTTTGTAAAAGGGACTTATATAATATTGCTTATAATCCATGTAATATAGGTACTAAGAATCAATTAAAATATTTTCTAAAACTATAATTTATAACTATCTTATTTTTTATAAATTATAATAGTCCTTCTATCTTATTTGAATTTTATTAATTTATTATCTATAACCAATATATTAATTTGTGTTTTTTATAAATCTATTGATGTTATGAATTAATTAATATTTAGAGTCAATTTTATTCTTTTTTTTTAATTTGTTTCATTAATTTTGCTTATTTTAAGACTATCATTAATATAA